GTTCAATATGCATACGACCCAATACCCTCCGCAGAATCCCAATCCTGCTTCAACACCACATTCACCATCTTCAAGATCCTCCGTGGACTCGTCCCCTGCTTGTCTCTCCCAACCACAAATCTAAACTCCACCACCCCCGCACCGCTCCTTGAGCTCTAGTCTAGGTACAAAGGTTTTCTGTCGAAGCCCCCAGTCGCTCAGTGGGAGGTCGCTCATTCTCCTCTGCTGCCCCCATTGTCTAGAACTCCCTTCTCCCAGCTCAATGATTGAACGGCTCTCTATATAAAAAAATAAATATGCCCACTGTTTCGGCACGGCGTCTTGAGCCGTGGGCACATTTATATGGTATATATAAATACAACTTACATTGTATTATATACAGGATATGTACAGGAAATCCAACAATGTGATGTATCCCCCTGGTATCAAATATCACCCTAAGTGTAATAAAGCGAAAATAATATATGCATGTTCATATTGATTAAATTACGTATTTTCAAAAACATTCCAGCTCAAACAAGCAAAGTGGTGGTGCTCGCCTCAGCTCAGCTCATCTTAACCACCAACACTGGAAATTCCACATTGCTATAACAGAGGCTTTTAATGACATTTTATTTTTTCCATTATCGTTCAGCTGCAAACAAAAACAACATACTCCACAAGTCTACTTAAGGACAAGTGCCCTGCAATGAGTATTACACAGTAAGAGGGCCCGCAGTCAGTAAACAGGAAATGATGTTCTCCACGAGATATCGGGAGCCTTCGCATAAACAGGAACAACCGGTGAAAGGCAGAGCATGTGGGGGGTGGTAAGGCTGCCGCAGACAAAGCTTCTTGCGATCCACTCAAACTCCAACACCCCCCAAGCCGCTCCCCCCTCCAACCTCACAAGACCTCCACTGCCCCCCGCCATCGCACAGTTCCCGACATCCCTTCACCCCATCCTTGTCAAATCCTCGTCCAACTCTCCCCCCCCCCCCCCTTCTTATGTTGTCCGCCAAGTCCACCAGCTCCCTGTCCACTACAAAAAAGCTGTTTCTGAGTAATCCATGTACTTCTCGCCCCCCCGCCGCCGTCCCGCCTCTCTCCGCCTTCCTACTCACCCTCACCGCCTCCAAACCGATTGTTGCACGGCCGTGTTTATAAGAAAACATCGGCTGAGGTTTGGAATCGTGGCTCGGTCCTTTCGTAAACAACAACAACAAAAAACATCTCCGGCTTATCAGGAAATGCCAGACCTCATTCTCTACGCAACACTTTATACGGCTTATTGGTATTTTGAGCACAAAAAAGTATAAAATGCGACCTCTTTGGCAATATCAAACCTATTCTTATTTTTTCATAAAAGTATTTCTTTTGCTCAGACGCACATTTCACCGTATGTGTCTTTCCCATTGTCCTTAGGATTCTGGGAACTTTTGTGATGCCCTTTGGACCCACTGCTGACTATCTTAACAGAACAAGGTCACAAAAAAACAGACTTCAAGTGCAAAAAGCAACAATCTGCTGTGCATTTCTATCAATGGCGTAACAGCTAATGCTGTTATATCCAAGGATAGCCTGCGTGCAAAGAAATAGCATACTGCAGCATATTTAAAGGAAGTAAATTCATGTAAAACACACACACACACATCAGTATTACATTTACAACCAATCAAGAATTTACCTGATACAGACATTTGCAGGAACGATCTGCACATTCGCTGATGTGCTGCAAACTGCTGCCCTATCACTAATCTGCTCAGCGGCAGCGTTTTGTGCTTCAGCCTGGAATTGGAGCTCGTACATAAAACCGCTAGGTGCACAATTAAACAACGCACTGTGCATCACAATCAAACCACTGAAACTAACACCAATCCTTTGGCTCCCTGTTCTGGTGAACATTCTGCTAACAAATATCCACAGAGACACGCAAACTGCAAGGAAGTTTACACGATTCCTTGCCAATGACAACCCAACACCTACCCATCAACCAAGACGTCTACAATGTAGCTCACAGCCGACTCAAGTCCCGATCCCCCTTCTGGGATCGCTCTGTCACCATCCTAGAATCTCACCCAGATCCAGAGGAGTGCTGGCGAACAGTGGAACAACACAGACGTGCAGAATAAACGCCTAATTCTTGACCCAAGACATCTCACCTCCTGGCTTTAACGCTTTCTCGAAGACACTGGCGTAACCATCAACCGCATCAGAAACATCAACAGGCCAATGCGCACATGGAAAGTTGAAGACAAGAACAGTGGGGCGACTGTGGCCATGCAACCCAAACTACGGACCATATAGAAAACCACTGTAGTCTGCGCTGCTCCGACAATGGAGTAACAGCAAAACTACACAAACTTTCTCCTGAAACCCTCACCCCGGCATTTAGCTCCTGAACATATTTCCACACACATTCAGCATACGTGTTTGTGTGGTGCAGTGGTAAATTCTAAGTTTACTGGTTGCAATCCTGACTGGGAATCAACTCAGCACATCATCCCTCCAGGTCGGTAAAACGTATTCCACTTTGCAACAACAACAAAGAAGCAAGAGTGGATTGCCTCGCCTTTGGAAACAAAAAGAGATACGCGCTTATCTGCACTTGAGGGGCAATTACTTGACGTTCATGTGTACGTAAGTATGCATACAGACTTAAGTTAACGTGTATGTCTGTCCACATATGAAGTGGGTGCATATCACCATCATCCATAAATGATCATCATCATCGTCAGGCAATGTCTATCTATAGCTGGATGAAGGCCTCAGCACACATTTGCCATCCGTCATGGTCCAGTGCTGCTACCATCCATCCCACCCCAGCACATGACCTGATCTCATCGCTTCATCTTCACAGTGATCAGCCGCTTGGAAGCATTCTCTACTACGCCCAAACATTCGCCAGGCATTCAGTAAAAGGTATTCGTGTGTGCCACATTCATTGCATACATGTTCATAGAAATGTGCACACTATGTAAAACAAGTGCAAAAATCTTCTTTGGTTATTTCGGTAAAGTCACGTAGAATGAGAATAAAATAGTAAAATAACACAAATTTGAAGCTCTGTCGTCCCGACAGGTCTGTACCTTTCACCTGAAGACGGCCGCTTGCGTTGTGGCCGAAACGTCGTGAGAATTTTATTGTGTTATTTTATTATTTTATTCTCATTCTACATGACTTTACCGAAAGAACCAAAACAAATGAATCCTTGCAGTCACGAAAGCTTTAAATCGAAATTTAAGTGCTAAAATGTAGTTTGTATACTCAAAAGGTATTTTTCCCTCTAAATCATTGTGTTCAACGAAAGAAATGCATGCTATTTAAAAACACTATCAAGAATATTGCTTGGCAGGAGGGCTTCCACTGGAAGAAGCTCTCCAATGGGTATTTTGTCTACTTCTTCCATGCTGTCCAGATGTCTTAGAAGAGGTGGGAGTACCCACACTTTACCCCACCGCACGCCGATTGACGAACTCTGTGGTGCACCCGTTCATGCTGCCGGCTGGGCAGAGGCGGCGGCTGAGATTGAACAAACTCGCCGATTGTGTCCACTGCCGTGCCGTCAGATCGAACGGGCGACCTCGGGATTTAAAGTCCAGTCCGCCAACCGTCACACCACGGCATCGACATCCTGACCTCGTGGTAGATGCGTGTAAAATGTATTATGCTTCGTCATTGTTCCTCAACACTACTAATTTCCATTCGCTCTCTCCTTTTTCGTATTAGATAAAACGTTGTTCCGTTGAACACGATCTGAACATTTCCTATTTTTTTCTGCAGCGCTTTTCACTCGCGTGCTGGAGGCTATATTTATTTATTGCGCAATAGGGATTTTTCTTTTTTTCTCATCCAGTGCCAGACCTTGTTCAAGTGTTTTTTTTGGCACTTTTTTTTTTTGCCAAGGCCATTTACAGAAGAGCGCCGTTGATAAAGATCCGGGTTTCAGGATTTGGCCCGCAGAGTAGAATGCTGTGTAAGTACCGTCTGGCATTAATTACCGACTCGCGGGAGTTGTGACGACGCTGGGTTGAACCGTACCCAGAGCTCGTCTGTCTGCTGCTGAGAAGCACACAATCACCTCTGTTGGTGAGTGATCTACACAGCGCAGGTGTATCCTGGCATTGTGAGAACACAGTTTGCCTACAGGGAGCACTGCCGTACACTCTACACGCGCGCGCACTATCAATAAGATGTGTCATTGAGACGTATTCCACAAGATACATTCCCATTGATTCCCATAAGATTCTGAATAATTAATTATACGTTTTGAGTGTGAAATGAAGTTAACTGTTTCATCTGTACATTTATACAATTACCGCTCTTTTTAAATAAATGTAATGCTTTATTGTGACGAGTGTGTGATTTCACGCTTCTGTTATCGATCAAAGCCCGATTGTTACCGAGCCATAAGACGAGAAACAATGAGTTTATATAAAGCTTACAAGTGGAAATATTAATATAATGGTGCTTTATTTTCAGAAAAAATAATAGCGAAAATAAATATATACATTGCTCCTCAAAGAGCATGCCAATGTCGTTTGTCGTTTGACATTGATTAAAGTTTACCAGAAAAAAACCAACCTCATTGATCGCTAAAAAGCCATTAAACTACCTAAACATGTACGTGGGTAGTGACAAAATATTTATAATAATAAAAAATGGAGAGCTTAAGTTAAATAATGTCTTGAAAATGTATTTCATGAGCAAGTTAGTTCCGTGAAATTTAAGGAAATTATTGTTTACATTATCGTGTGGAGCGTGAATTTTTGTAAAATATTGTAGGGGAATTTGTTCAAAATAATAACTTTTGACCCTACGATGAAACTAAACTTATTTGTTTATCTTACCACGTAAAGCCCACTGAGTTATATAGCTCTTTTTCAGAAGCGGCCTGGGCACAAATGATAGTTCAACGAGGTGGCTTATCACGTTAAAATGTATTGCAGCCAAATACTCTTAACGCGTGTTTATAACTGTGGAAGGAAAAACTGGAGGACCCGGAGAAAACTCCACGCGACCACGGGGGAGAAACAGACACGCAGACTCCAAATATACAGGTGTCAGCGTCGAGGATCGAACCCACAACCTCCTTCATCACAGGCGCGGTTGTTACAATCTCGCCACCGTGGCACACCAAAGGTAGAAATGCAACCGTTAAAATTCGTGCTCATGTCACTGCTAGCGGATGGTCCTCCTCTCGACGATATTGTGGCCAATTCTTTCACTCTGACAAAACGTTTTGGAAGAGTTTGGAGTACCCAAACTTGACCGCACCAGACGCGAGCTGCCGACCGACGAACTGTGGTCGTACCTGTTTATACTGCTGCGTGGACTGAGCAGAGGCATTTCAGAAACGTGCCCATGGTTTAAACTGCCGCACCCGGAGATTTATTTGAACCAATGACTTTTGGATTTCAAGCCCAGTGTGCTAACTATTGTGTTGAACACGTAACTGAAATGTTGGCAACGGTAAAAAAAAAACAACACCTGAATTACATTGCTTTGCACTGAACCACGATTATTTCAACAAATGCCTGATATGCGGAGGTGTGTGTGTGTGTGTGAGACATTGCATGCCTTTATTCACCCTTGCGTGTTCGGCGAATGCCGTTTGTAGTTTTTGTTGGCAACGTCTTTAGTTAGGGGACTCAGCAAAACCTGGGGCCCGTGAGAGCAAAACACACACAGTGAAAAGTTAATTCATCAGCATTTACTTATTTGTCAATTCCAGTGCTTAAAACATGTTTATTTTTACCAATTTCCTTTATTTATTTTAAATCTGTGCTTTTTTTTTTACAACGTGAACACAAAGGGAGTGGGTTACCATAACAAAGCTCTAAGGAGGCTTGACAAACCGCTAGGCCGTAAGTTATGGAGCAGGATGTTTAATTTTAAGAGTCAAGCGTAAAGTAACTTAACATGTAAACATTTCTCTCACCTTAAGATATTTCCATTCACGTGTACAGTCGTGACATTCAAATACAGGACACAGGTTATTCCAAGTGTTTGATTTTTTTACCTATGGCATTTTATACTTTTCATGTACGCAGACGTTTCAAAATTCAAAATAAGTTCAATTGCGGGTGCGTCTCCTCGTTCAGTCGTACATTGTGGCAGCGAGCGTCTCCATTGGTAACCCTGAGCCGTTGATGGAAAATTCCACATTCTCATGGCAGAGACCAGCCACTGAATGGAAAACGCTGACAGTGCCACCAGGCCAGATGTTCAAAGGTACAGCTGCAGCCGAAAAGGTCTCCCCTCGAGGGAGCTCTAAAGGGCCCCGCTAGAATATTTCGACCTACTCTTGCACGCTGACTAGATGTCTTGGAAGAGGTGGAAGTAACCCACCCGTTACGAGCTCGCACGTGACCTGCCGATTGACTGAGGTGTTGCCCATTTCTACTGCTCGGTGGACAAAGGTGGTCGAGGAGATTTGTCAAAAAATGCCCCGAAAGTTTCCTCGCAGGGAGGTCAAATAGTATTCATGAAGAAATATACAATAGCATCATAGCAAATGGAATATCACAGTGGTGGTATCTGCTTCCTGTTCGATTGTCACCTCAGTGCTAGACTCAGCCGGTGTCATAGGTTGGAGCTCAACACGTGATGCTATTGGCTTATTGTAACAAGGTGTCATTGCTTTTATAAGTCAACCGAGTGTAGTGGATTGTCCTCTAATACCCTCTGATGAATAACTCATGGCTACTGTGTAAGTGTACCAGCATGTCCAAACATGTTGGGAAGAAGAATTTAAATAAGCCGTTTAGAGTGCTTTGCATCTGTTACACCCAAGTATGTCTCATTTACACGTAGCATAATATATGTAGTGTAATGCACATGCAACCTGAAGGCCCCTTCCAAAGGCCACCATGTTGCTTGCGAATAGTATCGCAATCGTTTCACGTAACGGTACATTTAAACCGTGTGTACGAGCGCACTGACTGCTATTTCGGTGCTTGGAATCCCAGGCCGACGGTGATGTCGTCATGGGATGATGGGATGATTAATATCCAGAGCAATCGCGAGCGCTGTGCGTAACTGTCAATCAACTGTCTCATCAGCGCGTTCTTCAGTTGCAATTTCGAGCGGCCTTGATTCATCGTTAGAGAAAGTCGCAATTAAAATGCAGCCTTCAAACGCATCGGGCCAAACCCTTATCTGGGCTGAAATGTCACCATTTAAATAAACAGGCCAACTCTGGCTGCCTTACCGGCAGGACGTAATTATTTCCATGGAATACGCCCACGTGACGTCAGAAATCTCTGAAAATGATCAGCTCTCGCAAGACCCACAACATACGTCATGACAACACAATGCCCTTATAACAATAATAAATATAAAACTGTGATATAATTCTTCATGTAACTGATATAGTTTCTGGATGAATAAAGCTTTCAAAATTACCGAGAATGCTGTTTTAATTCACGTTGATATATAAACACCTACTGGGGGGGATACACTATGGGGCATTTATTTAATTATATGCCAACAAACATTTTTTTTGCTTTTTTTCTTGTAATATTTTAGCCACTTAAAGCAATGGGCGGGGTGGAATAAATGCTCCTCTTGAGACTAAACTAACTCTTTGAGTGTTTTATTAATGTTTTGAGTAAGTTAACGTTTCAATTAAAACATTATTTTTTCCTTTCAACAAAAATTAGTTCCGAGTTAAAATCTACTAAAAACTAATAGACAGGGGGTTTGTAATACAACAAAACAAAGTCTCAACTGTACCAGTGTAATATATTTTCCATAAACATGCTTGAAATTGTTAGTTTTGGGAGTGTGCACATTAAAACATTACGTTCTAATTATATTTTGCTAAGGCAATGACATTGTGCAATTTTATTTATCTAAAAAACGAAACGTTTAATTTTCCTATGGGGAATTTTTCATGCATGTCAGTGATAAAGCCATCGAGGTTGACGCCACAATACACCATATATTTTATGGTAGGGTGGGCTAAAATAAATAATTACACGTGTGTGTGTGTATGCAAGTGCGTATCCAGGATATTCATATATATAGCATCAATAACATTTTGAACTGGATGTGGTTAGCATACTGCTCTATAAGCCCCGTGACCCGGGTTTAATTCCTTGCTCTGCATAACACGAGTGGCAAGTGATGTTTGAACTGATCTTGGCCACCCAAACCCCCATTACACCCCCGCCACAGTGATACAGTAAGTGGAGTGAACTGTGGTCAAACAACCCCTTGACCATCACAGTGGGGGGGGGGGGGGGTGCTTAATCCAGTATTGAACTGGCAAAGTGCTACCGACAATTATTATAATTACTATTTTAATGGTGGGATACAGCTTTGTTGCTAATTAAGAGCTTTGAGATCTTTGTAAAATTATTTGAAATCCTATGCAGGTTTGACTCAACCTATAAAATCTGTAAGGTCGTTAAAAGGATCATTCTCAGTGTGAGGCTGCACCACTAGTTCCCATGTAGAATTTAAAACAATGGCTCAGGACACCTAGCAGAGATACTGTCCAGTACGAACATACTCCATGTGCTAATCCACACATAGACACACAAATAACAAAACAATAGTCACCTTAACTTAAAACATTATTTGTTGGGCCACAAAGTTACAATTAATCGCGGCTGCCACTTTATGATGCACGAGTGCAAGCAAAACATTTCATTGTCGCGAGACTGCGTGCACGAGACAAATGAATGCACCCAAGCCTCGGTGCTGCCTCCCTCCTCCGTAGCTATCTTGCGGCAGTGTGAAACAAATGAAGCATTCAGCATTAATAAAGCAGGGGGACCCTACGTAATCCTCCTTCCTGCCTCTCAGCGTGGGATTTGCAGCGGCTCAGACAGAAGCTTAATCAGCAAGTTCCAGCCGGAGAGGGAGACGGATGGAGGGGGGCGAAGGAAGCTGGGGGGGGGGGGGGGGTGTAGGCATTGGGTAGATGGGTAGGGGGGTGATAGGTAGCCAGTGGGTGGGCAGGTTTAGTGGAAATACAGGAGGCTGTGGAGGAGGGGCTGTATTGTGGGGAAGGGTTGAGGCAGAGGGGGGGACAGGAGGTGTGGCTTTAGTTGTATCTCAACCACAGTGGAAGGCACCACGTGTCCCTTTGTTCGACAGGGCAAGTACGTCTAGATTTAGACTCCTGTGAAATCTGCTTTATAAAAGACTTATGTTTATATATAGACACACACATACTTTTACATTAGTGAAACCACTGTGAAGACATGTGCTCTGCAGGGTGTTCTTAGTATGCCGTGATTTGTACAGATGCACACATGTTCTTAAAAGTAAAGATGCTTAATAAATCGTAGAGCCATGTCACATAGAGGAATAAAACGCATAATATCCCATTGCTCACCTAATACACAGAGATTAAAGTTTTTAAGTAAAAAAATCTCAGTTTTGTAAAATTCAAATACTAATCTTCAGTTATGTATTCTGAGTATACCTTATATATTTAAACGATCTTTCCTATCAATAGGCCGGGTGAGCTTCGGAGATGGTGGTATCTTGCCTTTGAACTTTGAACTCATCAAGCCATTGGTGATCATCAATCATGAGCCATCAACCCTGCGAGGCATCACGAGAAGGATACAACCACCGTCTCCTCCTTTTGGCTTCTGTGCGTCCGTGTGTCATCACAGAGCAGTGAACAACAGCTTACGCACACCATTAAACTCACAGTTAAAATATGCCACATTAGCTTCATTCATAATCCACTTAGACACCATTGCAGACGTAATTAACGTTATGATTAAATACACGCAAAACAGAAAAGCGTTTCTAAAAAGCAAAAGGATGGGTGGTGGGGGAGTTGCAAAAATATATCTGTACGTGGCTGGGCATTGTGCAATTTAAAGCCTCTCTAGCTACCAGCATAATTGTTTAGGTAGTCCTGTGTAACTCCTGGCACTTTTCCTCCACTCTAGATTTGCAACCTGGAGGTTGGTAGATCTAAGGAATGTTTTTTTTTAATGAAAGAATTAAAGAACTTCCTGAAGGTATCCATCTGTTATCCCAGCTCTGTGCATGGCTTTGAGTCCCCGCCTATTTATCCTGCGCCGTTTCCTTCGGGCTCTCGGTTAATTATTTACAAAGCTGCTTACGGCCCAGTATTTATGGGCGCAGGACTGGCTGTTCCCAGCGCCAAGATGAATGGGGCGGCCGCGAGGACTTTATTGACTCCGCTCGGTGGAATAAGGGCCATGTGGGCGTCCCGATCCATCACCGTGAGGCATGCGTGGGTGGATAAAGATCCCTTTTTCAGTCGGCAACTTACCTTTTTTCCACGTCGATGGAAAGGCTGCCACCGGTAAGCGCAGGCGGTGGAGAGAAGAGAGAAGGGGGTTGGGGGAAGGAAAAATAAAGTTAAACAGAAACACTAGATGAACCCCATTACCCACATTTCTTTGAAGGCGCAGATTAATTTTAAAAATGTGGCACGGCAACGTTACACTTGTTTTTCCTGCAGCTTGACAGATACAATGCAGGAGCGGGGGCACACGGAGGAATTCCATCGAAGGAAGACTCGCAAAGAAGCGTCTCCTTGCTCGAAAAAGCATGAGGTGGCACCCACCTCTGTCGGTGAACCCTGAAAGGGAGGTCGTAATTTCCACATTTCTATGGCGAGGATCAGTTTCTCAAACAGGACAACCACTTCTGGCTTCCCCGCATACTGATGCTGGAACTTGGGCTCCTCGTTAATTTTGTAGACGTGTCCAAAAATCAGTTTAGTGTTGGCAGCAGCAGTGCAGAAAGAATGAAAACAATGGCCATGTGCTTTGTATTCCTGCGTTTCACATCAATGTCTCTGCGCGGGGCACTTCACATCGCGGGGATCTTTTCCTTCATTCTGGGTGTGAAATTAGGCCGCTTAATTTGTGTCGCTCTGCGCTTACACATTCCGCACGTGAACTCCGTTGCGTGTTCGACGCAGCTCCGGCATTGGCACCGCGCAATCGAATGTGTGGGCCATCACGTCACCTGTAGAAGTCACAAAACTCGATGATGTTTGATGCGTCGCGTGACCATTCATCAAGCGGCGAGAATGCCGTCGCAAGAGTTATGCGTTTGACCTATTAAATATTGAACAAGCGCTATCCCGTCTCTCAAATTAATTAACCCCCCCCCCACCCCACCCCACCTTACAACTTTCGCATATTATAAAATCATTTCGAGATTAATTCCGAAGAGCGGCGTAAACGCGGCGTCGCCTAGGGGCGAATCGGATGCCCCCCACCCGTTAGCCGGCGCTGTTCCCCGAGACGGATCTTCACTTCGGTCACATGACGAGGCTTAGCACCGCGATTGTAATTAATGCTGCCCCCCTGAAATGAAGAGACGTCCCCTTGCGTGCCACCTCCCCCTCCCTCCCCCTGTTTAATAATCCCTGGATACACAACCCCAATGTGAATGTAAATGATGGCGATCGCCGGGCGCATTAAATCACTTCTGGTGTGATTATACATCGCACTGGACCATTGATCTTGATGGGAGCACAACGTGCGCGTCCAGCGACGTGCTTGCGGCCGACGGAAAGCACGCGGGCGCGTGGCCCTAAAGCGATGGAGCAGTGAAATTAATAAGCTCTTGGTGCTCGATTTAGCACGCCAAGTTTTTCACGCAATGCTGCGTACTATGTGGCCATGCACTCTATTATGTAGGCTCCGAGGCTTTATCTTCAAGACACTTTGATTGTCCCCCCCCCCCCCCATTACACTGCACCCTCTCCCCTCCCCAAGGTCCACCAATCACCCCTTCTTCACTCACTTCTCAAGCGTGGCAGGTGGAGTTTGTTTTGTGGTTGTGCGGGGAGTGTTGACACAGCGTTTCAAATGCAATTCATGCTTGGAATAAAATCCCGTACGCCTCCGACATGTATGCATTTGGATTTTTTTTGGGGGGGGGCGGGGTGGGTAATTAACTCATTTGCATACGCTCGTTACGTCTCGCTCGTGAGCATCTTAACACGGGGCCCGCAAATGACTGCGCTCTCACGCGAGCAGAATTCCGGATCGTACGTCAGCATTGCATGATGTTGGGGATTTAATTTTGGACAATCGTGGTACATTTCGGATGCTAATTAGACATCGTGAATGCACGTGTGCTGAATCCGCACCAGTCGGTATGGGGTGAAAGATATATATATTTTCAATAATTAAGTTTGGCTAATTCCTTGGAGCTATGCTTGAGGTGGCTGAAGACTGAACTGACATGAAATACTGTTTGTGGTTTAATTTAATAATGCACACCCACCCTGAGTGGGTAATACATTTAATATGCGGCTGATATTTTGGGCTGCCAAAATGGGAGTCAAGTATTTGCAATTATTTGGTTTTCATCCAACCTCTTCATTGTCATTGATTTGACATCAACAAAGCATTCAGTTATAATTACTATCTTGATTTCATCATGAGATGTGCGTAATTGCTATAATAAATATAACATTTAGCCTTTCTTGTTTTATTATTAGTGGGTCAAATGTTAAAACAATAAATTAATAATTACATTCGGAATGCTAAAATGTTTTGAGAACAAGATAATAAAATAGTTGAAATACGGAAAATTATATTTTGTTTGTGACTAATTTGCAATTATCTGTGCTAATCTTTGGATGAAAGAATTTCACTGATTCTGTTTAATAAGACTCATAAATTATTGCGACAAATTCTATAAAATATCATACTTACATACTACACGCATACATCCTTTTGATGTACGGTAGTGTTAATATCTGTGGAATTTAAGATATGAGAACTCTAACCTTACAACTGACTCTACTCTCTAATTCACTGCCACGACTAAACTCCAGATTCATAACTCATCTCTCAGTCACCATCCAATCCATATACTTTACAGGGATATTTTTTTCAAACTGTGTAAAGATACTGCCTGATCATATTCTGATGTATTTTAATAATGTAATGAAGCAAATATATAAATAAACTAGAAAATACCATTAACCATTAAGTGCTCTATAGGCGGGTTAAAATTCACATCGATAGGGTTCATTAATGGAAGTTTTACCATATCTTAATTAGGCCAATTAAGACAATTCTTCACTTATATTTGAGTATTTTAATGGTGAAATTATCTGTACAAATACAATTTTTTTTGCGCGGAATACATTTGCTCCGTTGCCGAATGAATGGATGAATGCATTTAACGTCATCGTCAATGTGATCGTGTTATTTAAATTAATTACCAAATATGAGCATGCAAAGGTGGCACAACAACTTCTCAGCTTTACATTAAATGAAATACCAGAAACCATTCAATATGCAGCTTATAGCCCATATTGAGTAGACACAAACATCCAGGCCACAATATTTGTTTCGCTTCGTTCCTCATTTATGATGCGTCCACTGCAGGTAGACCACGACGGATGATGAATATCAGAATCAAGCATCGTGTTGTCATCACATTTTTTTTATGCTAGAGAACACTGAACCAAAAGGAAATTTACAATCGCGCGTGAGCAGTGTGTGGGGACAATTGCGCGCAACAGTTAAGAGCGCGCTGCTGAAATTTGTCGTGGCCCGAAGGACGAACCGCAGGTCAGGGCAGCTGGCGACTGCGGCGAATGAGGAGAGCGACAAGAGCACGGGCTTTTTTTTTCAAAGGACCACCATGCCACTGTTCCACGATTGGCTGGCAGTTTGGGCGTCGGTGTGAGATCACGGGAAAGACAGCCCTTGCGTGATCATTGGGGAATGAACAAGGTGGGAGCGTACAATTGGGTTCCAACAATGCTGGCATGCAACATCAAAATGGAGCGTCGGATAACTTCTCTTGATGCTCTTGACCCGATGAAGGCAATCGGTACAGGTTTTAGTGGCGACGTATTACCGGTGATGAGACTTCAATTTACCACTACGACCCTGAGTGCAAACATCAGTCTGTGCAGCAGAACCATCCAAAACCCAAGAAATGTAAAGTCGCTGTGCTTTGTAGGCAAGATCATGGGCACTTCGTTTTGCATATCAACTTGACAAGACCCAAGGAGACCATGACAGGTCAATACTTCGTGTAGACTTGTTCCAATGATGGCATAAGTTAAAGAAAAGCGCCATGAAAACACAAGCGCCTCATCCTCGCTTCTGCGTAACAATGCCCCAGTGTACATTGTAAGTGTTGCAGAGGCCGATACCGTGAAGCTTTGCCACTTGTGGGAACTATTGCATCCAGTCTATTCTCTAAACCTTGCATCCAGTGACTTTCACAGGGTTCCCAGATTGAAGGTGCCCCCGCATGGAAAGTGTTTAGAGGACAACGACGAGGATGATGCTCATCATAACGATGAGCGGAAAGAAACTGTACACAATGGCCTTGGAGAATCGTTCTGGAGGGCATCAAAAAGATCCAGGGACAATATGAAACATGCATGTGCGAGCAAAAGGGTGACTATGTAAAAAAAAATGTGGCTCTTATTGATTGTACTTTGCAAATATGTTAGACTCAGACCTATTGAATAACCCTCGTAATATATACATACAAAAGATCCCCATTTGTCATTGTAAGTCAGGGCAAGTGATGACAAACGCATATAGGTGGTCAACATCAGCCCTGGTGCGCCACGCATACGTAGGACACATGAACCGCACATGCAATACTCTACACGTGAGCCCATTTTTGGTGGTTGTTGCTGTTAAAGAAAATACATGAAAATGTTGTGCGGCATATTCCATCAAAATTGTTGCACGCGTGCATAGACACACACACACACTTGTGTGGGCGTGTGGTATTTTTACGAGGCTACACAGACTTTTGCTCGACGGCTGTGATCTCCCAAAAAATGTTTTGACCAAAGTCACCGTTAATGTACTGTGACCTGGAGATGAAACCCAACCATGCCCTGTGTTTTTACACCGCTTCAAGGCCTTTTTTTTTAATATTTCCCTCGAGGGACGGCTCTACCTGTCCTGCCTGTTAGCGTTGGCGGAAGCCTGGCCACAGCAGGCGGGCCCTCTCCAGTCCCCGCATCAGAGCGCCGTGTGGAATTTCCATTGCTTCAAGCGGCCGCTATCAAGCCCTTTAAAATCTTGACTAATTGCGGCGATATAATGTGATTCTCTTCGATGGGTCGCCGCACATTTTCCTAGAGTTTTTAGTGCAGAGATAATCAGCGTGATATATGTGTACGCACATATACACTTCCCATAGTATTTGTGCATATGTAGGGAATCGTTTCACGTGGAATATTTTCCTGGGGAGAGGGGCAACCCCCCCAACTGCCCAGGACTGCCCTGCTCTTGACAGCAGTGAGGGGTGGGAGAGGAATGATTTTCCAGAGCTTAGCCCCAGACGGCTCCTGATGAAATTAAGCCCCGAGAATATACGTACATACAAACGGTTATCATTATCTAGCACATACTTAGTACAGCATCTCAAAATTTAGAGATAAGATCTTTTTTAAAAAAACTTATTTAAAACAAATTCATCTGCAAACAGCATGTATGCAGATTTCCTCGATGATACCCTCCGATTTTAATACAGCGTTCACATCGTAATACGTTCAAACCTGCACCAAAGGCATAATTCAGCCGTTTATATTTGACCATAATCTTTACCGCACAGGCTATCACACCAAAGATTAGGTGATAATTGAAATAAAACAATCGTCAAAAAACTGCGTTGAGAATCTCTGTTAATGGGACGACATCGAAATGGCGCATGCCAGCCCCGTGTGAACATGCGCGCGATGCGACACGAACGTCGTGCTAAAAGTCTCGCTTAAAAAAAAAAGAAATTAGAGGCAGTTCTTAGGGAGCGAGGAAGCTGATAAACACACCTCTCACATAAGCGGGCCTGCTTTCCTGAGGAGATAATTTTGACGGCGAGCTGTGATTAAAGCTGCCGGCTAGCTCTGAAATCCTGCCAAGCCCCTAAAAGCCTTCCAGGGCCCGCTGTGAGCACCGGCGGACAAAGACAGTTTGTTTTGATCATGAGTTTAATCACTTTGCTCCGTCGAGTACTGCGCTGAT